ACAAAAACTGCTCTCTTCCATATCTAAGTAGCAAATAGCTAATAAATAAGTAAATCAATTTATGCATATAAACAATAAATAGGCAAACTATTTGCCACACTAAGAAAAGTAACCAGACAACTACTGTGTCGACGATATGTGTGTACCTCTATCTATGATAATTTCCTAAAGCGTAAAACAAGAAGCCGAAACACAGACAGAAGTTGAATAAATCAAATCAAATTATGCATATTACATAGTATAACGAGCACTAGAAAATAATGTATTGCAAAACCAAAGAAACAAAACGAAGTTACATATAAAACCAAATCAAATCAAGCATATTGAAACTAAAATAAAAAAATGCAAAAATTGGCCAAACCAAATTGAGACCAAAGGCATTTACAAACCAACAAACGAGCAAGGGGATAAAGAGATCAAAAACATGAAAAGGCCAAAAGGAATGATAACTATTGAACAAATATATATATAAAGTATATACAGTATATACCGAATTGTGAAGCTCTGGTAACAAATGCAACAAGAACCTACAATAAGCCCTCCTACAAGATTATACTACGATATACATACATATATACATATATAAAACTTATACAAAAGCAAAACATATGAATGCTATATACAAGCAAACGTAACAAGTACTATTTTTCTTGATTTATCTACACACACACACACACCAACACACATACACATACATTTATAAATTGTTACTGAATGTTGTTTAAATATTTTTTTGGTTTTTATATACATATATATTTTACTTAAATAAGCCAAGACAAACGCAAACGTTTACCGCCGAAACAAAACAGTAAAAACTACCTAGCTAAACTCTAGAGCAAAGTTATATATATAAATGATATATCATTTTTAAATGTGTGCTTTAAGTGTGTTATGAGAACTACTAACAGAGCCACGTGCCGGTTCCTAAAACTCCAATTTAAATATGTAAAACTACACAAAGAGAAATCAAATTTTAAGAATTACATCAGAAATAGCAAAAATTCCATAAATCCTAAACTAACAATAAGTGTGTGTGCAAAAACTGTTTTAAATCACAACAACAACAACAACAACAAAAACAAAAGCATAATCAAAGCAAAAACCAAAATTTAACTAAAATTCATATTTAATATATGTGAAAAACAAAATGAAGAGAAAACTTATCAAATTCAATCAATAAATGTCAATGAATATTTAAAATAACAGCATTATTTATTTACAACGGAATATTGTTAGATTTATTCGTTAACTTTAATTGACTTTTATTCAATTTCGGGTAAGTATTTGGCAACAGTTGGTAAGATTCATAAACAATCTTTGTGGTTAACAACAGATGCATACCTGCATACATTATAATAGTATAGTATATATACTATACATGCATTTATTTCTGCTTATTGCTTAAGCTTGTGTCCTTTTACCCTTTTTAGCAATGGCTTGAGGTTATTTTTTGTACTAGGGCTGGTTTCGTAAGTTGTGGCTGCTTTAGTTCACGCTGCTAACAGGTCTTTGTTAACTTTTCCATTCACGTCGAAAACACTTGTTTCCAGCTTGCTTCCTTAACTGTCCTTGGCTCATTTTATGTTTCAAGTACCTAATCCGTGGTCAGCTGGCAGAGTTTTTATAGCCCATTCGCCGTTTAATCAGAGACTTAGGTTTACCTTCAGAGCTATCGTCGGTGCTGCAGAGATTTGACTTGGGACGGCTTCAGTGCACGATTCAATCTTAGTTGCATCCTTACTATGTGAATTGACGTTAGTTCTGCTCACGATTTCATATGTTTTAATTCAACCAGTTCTTTCTTATATTCCTTCTCTTTCAATTCAATCAGTTCTTACTCATATTCCTTCTGTTTCAATGTTTATTTTCTTTCAGAAAGAATATTTCAATTTAATCAGTTCCTTCTCTTCTAATTCAAGCCATTCTTACTCATGTTCCCTCTCTTTCAATTCAATCAGTTCTTCCTATATTCCTTCTCTTTCAATTCACTCATTTCTTACTCATATTCTTTCTGTTTCAATGCTTATTTTCTTTTATCTCCCTTTATAAAATTCCACATTTATCAGCAAAAAAATATGCAAATGCATCTCAAAGAAAATTTCATTTTTAAGCTGCTTTGCGGTCTTCAAGAGGTTGTTCTTTAAAAATCTGGCTGCACGGCAAAGCTATTAGCCTGATACGGCGTAATAGTCTAATCCACTTGCTGTTCTCATATCATCAATGGGTTTAAACCGTTAGGTAGATATGGTGTGCGTGTGCGTGTGTGTGTGTGTGTGCGTGCGTGGGTTCATGAAAATAAATTGTCGTCGCTGGCAAAGGTTGCGGCAAGTGTTTATGGAATTGATTTCAGTGTAATATGCGTGTGGTTGGAGTGGATGGCTGCAAAGCTTTTATCTAAATTAAATCCAGGCCACGACACATGCCAAGTCCATGTCGAGGTCGATACACTCACTCCCTCCACTCTCCACTCTCCCTTGCTCCCTCGCTTTCTCTCGGTTCCTCTTTGTGTTTCTCGCTCGTTGACGCCTACGCTTGACGTGCAAATGATTTGCCATTTGGCGCGTCATCAAAGCTAAAAACTTAATGTGCAGTCCCGTCTTAAGGCTGCAAGTACATACACCCACACACACACACACACACACACAGTGTGTGCTGCACATTGTTCAAGAAAAATCTGTGCAGTTTTATGCAACTTTTATGACAGCAGGAGCAGCAACAGCAACAGCAGGAGCAGCAACAGCTGCAACAGCAGCAGCAACAGCGACAAAGTTTTTACGACTGCCAACAATGCGAAAATGTGAATAAAAAGTAAACGCACACCAACACTCACGCACACACACTCACTCACACACCCAACACATAAACAAAGAAAAGTTCACTATATTCTGACCTGACAAAATACAAGTACAAGTGCTTGCCACTTGGGGGCATGCCACACACAAATGTCTTGGGCCCTGCGCCCTGCGAAGTTGCGACTGGAGCTCCTTAACAATTATGAAGCTGTCGCCGTGACAGTGGCAATAGCCTACGCACACACACACACACACACATGTGACAGCCCACGGCAAATTGTGGCATTGACAAGTTCGAGCCACAACGCGAGGCGCGACAACTTTTTGCCTAAGCCACAAATTTCAATTTCAATTTCAATTTAAGCTACAGCAATGCACATACATATATTTTTTGGGCTGCATTTAAATTCAGTGTGAAGGTGTGAAGAGGAGTGAGAGAGAGAGAGAGGGGGGGAGTGGGAGCGAGGCATGCTGAAAGCAATGAAGCAGAAAAAAGCCCCAAGACGAAAATAAGACTTTAAATCAGAATGTTACACGCAGAGGGGAATAGGTATTCAACATGTCCACCATCTATTATAGGGTATACATATGGCAGCTTGTCATATTCATTCATATTTTATTCTGACTTACAGTTTGGAAATCTCTTAAAGACTTCCTTCATAAGTTTCCATTCGCTCCAACGCTCACTCTGCACAGCTCAGGGCTTGATCTGTTCGACTCGACTGCAATATGCCCTGCGTTTAGTCACTTTCAGTGTTTATTTAAGCCAGTGCAGCCGGAACTATAAAGTACGCGATATTATTTTAACCGCAAACTGTCTTGCTTGTTGTTCGTCTTCCGCTATTACTCAGTTTATTTTATGCCCCTTGAATATGCCCTTTGGAGGACGGGCATATTTGTTCTGTGTCAATTAGAGTAACTTTGAAATGATATTTATATTATATATATGCTGCGATGAATATGAATAGCTAATACATATATCTAGCAATCTCGATTAATTTATCGATAACATGCAGTTATTGAGATAAGGTACATAGTAAGATTTGTCATTTGATAAAGAAATATTGAGGAAAGTCCTGAATAGTAGCTGAGTTAGTAATGGAAATGATATGAAAATCTCTATAAAATAGCATAGATATGGCTTATGGAATATCTCATTCTGTATTTGCGAGAGTTCCTATTTGGTCAGCCTATATAAACAAATATCTACAATTCCCATCGATGTCTTTACTAGAATCAAGTTCGATATGATAGACCACATTCTCTAGACCCAACTAGCGTATATAGTCTTCAGGAGTCTTCCCTTTCAGCATATCCATTGCCTATCCTCTTTCTTTTCCTTTCTTTCGCTTCCAGCATAACTTCTAGTCGTGCATACCCGCTTGATACACTCTAACTTTCCCTCTATTTTCTTTTTTTTTGCGGTTTTCAGCGCTCTGCCCGCGAGCTGTTCGCATAAATTTGAATGCGAATTTTTATTTGCATGCCAGCAGCTAGTGCAGCAGTCACTGATGCTGCATTAAACAGCAGCAAGTGTGGCCAATATTAAAAATATGCACCACACACACACACACACGCGCGCAAGTGGAGCACACACATACATGCACATGGAGGGTCTGTGTTCATTATCGATGCCATCCGACGGGCACTTTCCGTAATGACTTTGGCCCCAGCCAACGCTTGCCACGATGCAAATTAGGCGTTAAGGCTGACAACGTTTTTCCACAGCAATGCAGTTCGCCCCCTCACCGCTCCCTCCATTACCCCCCGCCAGCTATAGCCACCCACTGTGGCATGCGTTGCAAGTCACGTGCGGCTGCTGGGCGAGCCAACCAGAGCGTCTAATGAAGTGACCTCTGTGTTCCGGCGCTTGCGGCAGGGCGTGAAAAACTGCCACCTTCCAGCTCCCCCCACCCCACCCCTTCGGCTAGCCGCATGGCTTTTTTGTTGCACGTGTTGCAGAAATTTCGGTTAACGGTTATTAAATGCAGTTTGACAACAAAAATGTGGCAGCAAAAGTGCAAAGTGCAGACGCAGCGACGGGCTCTCTCTCTCTCTCTCTCTATACCTGACTGGACTGGCCTCACTCACTCTTGCCCGCTCTCGCTCTCTCTCTCTCTCTGGGTCGATCGCCTGCTCCAAAACTGGTTTCACGCTCAGTTTTTAGACCAGTTTAGACCAAACGCAGGTGCGCTGCGCCCAAGCGCCGATCAGTTCGAGCTGAAACCGCGACGCGATCGCCACGCAGCCGCGCTTCACATAACAAATAAAAAACTCACAATAAAAAAATTAATAAAAAACCGAATAAACTCGAAAAAAAAGTGAGCAGGCAGCAGCAATACGTATATTCAACTATTTTTAGCGCATTACGTGAGTGTCATACGAATTTGGCAGCTGAGCGCAAGCAACAAAAAAAGCAAACACAAATGTGCTAAATAGTGTACACTGTACTACAGGCCCAGCAAAGTCTTTCTAACAAGCGCTGCCCTTTGGCTATGTGTGTGTGTGTGTGTGTGTGTGTGTAGGCGCATAACTCAGCTTGAGCCAAGCCAAAAAAAAATTTACAAAACCTGCTGCTATTATTAGCTTAAGCCAAGATTATGGCCGATTTGGCTTGGCTCTCTTAGTCCATTGTGGGCTGGCTAAAAGTGCCTCTGCCGCTGCCTCCCTCTCTCTCTCTCTTGCACACTTTCTGTCTCTCTCTTAATGTTGTGTGAAAATCTGCAACGCCTTTCATTCATGCCAAACGATTATATCACACATATGCATATGTGTGAGTGACTGTGTATGTGTGTTGGCTGTCGTTTTGGCCAGAACCAGTAAAGCAAAGCATCCACACACACACAGACAGACCTACACAACAATTTTTGCATAAATCAAGACGTCATTGATATATTTGCCTATATAGAAATTCAGTTATAGATAGAGATGTTTATCTATATATATATGTGTGTGTGTGTGTGTTTGCTTGATTGACTGACTAATTGTTATTTAATGCCTAGAACTAACCGTTAAGCATATAAACCTAAATTCTTGGCCACAGTTATTCGATTTCAAATCAACTCCGCGCTAAGCCAGGGAACAGAGCTGGAAAAGCAGTTGGCCAGAAGCCAGAGCTTGGCTGAATTATGTGCTAAGAAATGGCATAAACAACTGGAGTTAAGTGAAGCTATAACAAGATCTTTATAGATCATAGAAAATGCCATGAAAAGAGGTGAAAAACTCCACTGCAGAGAGCCTGGTGAAAATGCATTTTCGTAAACGTTTTACACAGTTTGCGGCCAAGTCAATGCCGCTTGGATAAATGAATGAGAATGAATGGAATAAGCCAGGCATAAAGCCACTGCTATATGGCATAGCTATAGATACACGCACACACACACACTAGCACACACATATTGCTATTTATGTATCTATAACTATAAATTTGTTTATTTTTCTGTACAACAGACGCCAGTGAAGTGACAGTGCAATGAAATGTGTGCAACAGCGCTATAAAAACAACAACAACAACAACAGCAACGAAACACTAACAACCTGTCGTTGTCGCTGGCAAAGCGTTAACAATAAATAAGCGAAACAATAGCAGCAATAACAACAACAACACTTGACTGTACAACAATGAGCAGAGAAGGTAAGCCAGTTTTTTTTTTTTTTGTGTTTTTTATTTAAGCCCACAATCGTGCATTGGTATACATTTATGCATGCAAAACAACAACAACAACACACACATATGGAAGCACACACACTTAAGGCATCCACACACGCCTCACACATTTGCGTGTTTATTGCCATTAATTTTATTTCGCTTTAAATGAAGTGCAAGTGTCAATAGGAGCTAAAAATATATATGTATATGTATATGTGTGTATGTAAATGTCTATATAATGCGTGTGCGCTTTATGAGATAGAAACTGGAAAAGTTTAAGAATATAATCAAACTACACGTTCTTATAGATATGCATATGCATATGTATATGCAAACTATCTATAAGATAGTTTTAGGCCTATAACATTGAATTTCAAATATTATCTAACTGAACTAACTCAAGTTGAGAATGAGGTAGATGAGCTAGGTTAGTTTGAATGAGATTTTAACGGAGATACATTGAGCTTATTGGGCTTATATCGGATATCAGCTACATATTGCAGATATAAATGTAAAGGTCTTGGAGACACAAATCTATCAGATATGTATTATCCCTGTGTAAAACTGCAGTAAATAAAGGAAGAATTGAAATAAACTCAACTTAATAAACATAACTGAGCTTGAATAGATGGAGTTATATTAGATGAACAATATTCTAGACATATATTCATTTGGTATCTTCACCAGAAATACAATAAGAGATACAGGTATAACAAGGTAAATGAGATATTATAACATTCACTCTCTAAAAAGCTTAAGAGATCATAATCTTTCACAGTTCATAATCATTCAGAGATCATGCGTTTATCTATCAGCTCAGTAGGCAGCATATTTTGACTGAGATGCAGCTGTCAGATACACAATATTCACAAAGAGATCTACTAGACACACTCTGTAAGATATACGTATTCCCAGCTAAATAGGCCTTCACTCTCAAACTAGAAGATCATGGCGTAAACTTTGATATATTTATGATGTGACTTCTGTCTCTGACAAAACACATTAGAGCACGTAGAAAAGAAACACAATCCGACTGTGTGTCAGACTATCTCAGCGTATGGCGCCCCATAAAAACTCACTCTCCATAAAGAAACACAGCCTATAAATCTTCAACTTTGAGCTAGAAGGTCACGTGCTTGGATTTCATACATCTCCAAGATAAACGCTCTCTAAGCTAAACACTTCATGGCATAAGGTCATGATGCAGCTGTTTGTTTCCGCAGCTCTTGAACTCTGAACTGCAAAAGTTTGCGGCGTGGGTGCCGAAAAAAAAAGAAATATATGTATATTTATATATAGTTAACAACAAAAAAGTGAAACTGAAACTGAGACTCAGACTGAGACTGAGACTGAGACTGAATTCTCGCATTTGGTTGACCGTGAAAAGTCAAAGACGCAGCCAGAGACAGAGCCAGAGGTGTTGCCTTTTATGAGCATGATTCAGATTTTTTTGTTCCAGTTCAGCCTGTTCTCTCTCCCTCGCCCTCCATCTCTGTCTCCATCTCTCTCTCTCTCTCACTCTCTGTCTCTACTCGTTTCTCGTTCGCTTATGTCATTCGGCAACGATTTGTCAGCGCAGCGGAAATCCAAGCAGCACCAAATTAAAGCCCGAGTGCAGGAAAATGTTGATTAGTTGGCCAACGCATTTGGCCAATTGCATGGGTCGCTCTGGCCATTTTCATAGCTGGTCCCAGCCATTTGCTTATTGATAATTATCGAAACGCAGCAAATACCATTGCCAAATCAATGCAGACGAGGAAATTAATTGGCCAAGCGCAGCTCGCAATGCGCTTATACGAAAGATTGGCTAATCTGGAAAGAGAAACTTGGCTTCTTTCTCTATAAGACAATTCGATTGTATCTTAACTTAGCTAAGGAAGTAAGAATGTTGTGTTGATGAACAATTAAATCTATTCAGCGATCACTCTTTTTCAGACTTGACAAAGGCTGCGACTATATCATGGGTCTATTTCAAGAGAGAGTCTGAAACTTGTTAGCTGTGGAACTTTTAGCTTCTTTTCGATTTGCCACACCCCGAAGAATGTTGTAGTCGAGCGACTGACTGAACGACAAAGATGACTCTTTTCAGATTTGACAAGATACAAGGGCTCGAACATATCATTTAGAGGTATATCTATGGAGCTGTCGCTCTTTTAATTTGACTGTTATAGATATAGCTTCTTTTCGATCTGACATGTCTCAAATGGAGGGAATCAACAATGGTCTCCAGCTCTATAGCTGTGATAGCTAAAACTTTTTTTCGATTTGTCATAAACGACTATCTACATATCTTAAAGATATCTGGGGAATCTCTTTAGTTTTAAATGCAGCTGTAAATCGAAATCATGAACCATAAAAAGTCATGTGACTAATCTATTTATAATAAAACCATAGACGTAACATCCATAGAGCTGCACCAAAAAACTCAAATATACGAGCTCTTACTCAAGCTATTATCATAATCTAGCCTCTCATCTGTAAGACAATAGACGCGTTACGGAATCTACATACATTTCGAGAGGTTGTCGTTATTGTTGTCTTGTGGTTTGTCGCCTGCTCTCAGACAGTTAGCTTTTCACTTCCCAGACCCGGTCAGACCCACTGTGCATAACAGAGAACTGGATTTAGCTTCTCTTTATTCGCTGTAGTTGTTGTTATTGTTATTGTTGCCCCTCGATTTTTTTTTTGGAGTAGTCGCAGCGCACAAGAAGGGCCGCTGGCGATGTTGATGATAAAAAAAAAATCAGCAACAAAACAGTCAGCGATGCTTGGCGCACGCCATGCCTCATGCCCCGTTCACCGTGCCCCCAATTCCACATTGCCCAAACCAGCAGCAGACAATAAAACCAAGAAGAAAAGAATAAATATTGATTTGCCTAGAGATACTCTGTGATTCGATTCGACTTGACTTGTGATAAGTTTAGTTAACAGCTTGATCATTCGATATTTCTTGAGCGAAAGTTATCGATCAAAAATAAAAATGTGAAGCTATTTTGACTTCTGTTTCACTTTTATTGATCCGTTTTGAAGAGAACTTCTTATAAAAGTTTAGCATATGAATTCATCATATACATTCTCCCATCTGTAATATTTACAGGGTATGTTAGCAACTAGAAATTTAAAACCAACGCCAACGGCACAAAACTATTTCATTCCGCTGATGACAATGTTTTGATAGTACACAATAATTTTTTGGCTTTTAGATTTATTTGTATTATATATATATATTTATCTTTTGGGGTCAAGTCGCGATGGTAAGTGGACGCAGCGTCAATTAGCGCAAAAGAGCTGCAAATTTGTGTTTGACAGTGTATGCATTAGGTCGTGTATTCCGTTACGTATGTGCATGCAATGTTTTGCGACAATTCAGCATCAGCTTCAGCTACAACGAGGCAACAACAATTGGCAGGGAAAGTTACGCAATAGTGCGGCATGTAGTTGCTGTTGTTGTTGTGGCTATTTAAGACAGGTTTGCAGCAGATAATGTTGCAAGCGGACAACGCTGCGTATGCGCATTATCATCAGCCTGACACGAACATCAAACGTTGAAGTTTGTCATTTTTTTTTTTTTTTTGTCTTCTCTTTAATGCAAATGCGCAAACATCAAAATAACAAATAGAAACTCGTAAATCAATCAGCGCTAATCGCCATTCAATCGGGTTTGCAGAGAAATGTATATATGGATTTATATATATACATGTATAATATATAGATATATACGCATCAGCTTGAGTAATCAACGCTTTGAACGCTCGTCAACTGCATGGCGAAGCAAGTCATAAAAGAGAGACGAACGAAGCTAATAACGTGATTGCCTAACAACATTAGCTCATGTGACAATGGAAGAACGATGAATATAATCGATAATTATCGACAAACAATATATTTTATATGAACCTATCATCATAATGCATTGTAAAGTCGAGTAGTATATGAGCAATATATTATATATATGGATATGCATAGGTATAGTTATAAATATTTACCTATAGGTTCGAGCAAGTGGCTTACAAAATAAAGTAGTTAATGTACAGCTGTAAAAATAAGCAGCTAATTGGTTAATTAATTATCGATATTACTATTTATCGATTAGCTGCTTGTCAAGTAGCCCTCGTCTAACCACAAACTCAAATATAATTATATTTATAAATTTTCATTTGACATTTAATTGAAATGCACAGATGATGCTGTTTGTGATGCTGATGCCGATGATTTCATCACGCAATTAATATCGCGTGTCATTGAAAAGCAAAGTTACATAAAAACGTTGCATCTGAAATGCCTCAAATCAAATGCCAGCACATGCGACAAGTATGGAATATTGATCAACCAGATATATATATGTATGTGTATGCATGTGGATGCATAGATCTGTACATTCCACTAGAGATTATATATACAGATATATGAATATGCATGTATAGATGGATGAACGAATGGATAGTTACTTGAATATATGAATAGATGTTTGAATGTATGGATGGATGATATGTAGAGATATGTATATATAGTTCTATGTATATAAACGTATATGTAGGATTCTCTTTAAGCCTTACTTCATATAATATATGTATACATGGTTATTTATGTATATGAATTCCCAGCTGATTATTTCTTTTCCATGTTCATAACTTTTTACTCTTGGCTATTTTTATGATTTTTGTGCTTATAATGAACAAAGACCGGAATCAAATTAATTCACAAGCAATCAAAAAGTTAAGAGAGAGAGAGACAATAAAACTATAACAAAACATTTCCGGGTGTCGTTGGTCATATACCCTAGCATAGTGAATGTCAACTGAACTACATGTACATATGTATGTGTATATATATATCAATGGTTAATTCTACTCTTGATACATACACA